AAAATAAAATGAGGATAAGTCTAGGACCTCAGCTCAGTGGGAGGATGCTTGCCTAGCACTGGAAAATCCCTGGATTCAATCTTTAGCACTGCAAAAATAAAAATGAAATGAGAAAACAATTTCTACAAGTCAGGTACAGTGAAGTAACCCTGTGATCCCAGCATTCAGGATTCTGAGGCAGAAGGATCACAAAGTCGGTCAACCTAGGTTACATAGCGAGTTCAAAAGGCTGCCTGGGCTCCATAAGGAGACCCCATTTTAAAAAAGATTCTTTTGCATCCTATCCTCAGATACTGTGTGAGTTCTGCCTAATCTGCTTGCAAGAAACTACATCCATAAGCAAGGACCACAGTCCTGGAGGATGTACACATACTGCAGATTTCAGTTCTGTCCTGTTTAGTGCTGTTTGCAGTTTTGGGTGCTCTTCAAGGATGACTGTTCTGCACGTGTCACCCCAAAATACAATGGAAGTTGAGCTTCAGCAGTTCAATAGTTCTCAACTCTTCTGAACACACTCAAAGAGCCAAAAGCCAGCCTGTGAGATGTCCTCACACATCCAGTTATCCCCGATACAACACTGAGCCTGAGGACAAAAGGGTTGGTATATTTTGTTTTGTTTTGTGAATTCTTTAAGCACAGTGAGGCAGCAGCTTGCCTGAGGGCTGTGCTTTGGCAAGACCAGGAGCCTTTGGTTTAGTGGCCCACACAGTGGGGAGGGAATGATTGAGGGGGGTGCAAGGCTTGCTTCCTGCTACTCTACCTGGGAGGTAGGCCCTGGGGTGCTGCATGCTCCCAAAGCCACCAAGCTTGAGTGCAGACTGAGTCACCTAGGGTGGATCCTGGAACTAGAATGGCAAACTGCATCCCAACTTGAGGACAGTCCAAGAGACAGCCTTGCCCATTTGGGCAGCGCCAGCCTCCCTCCTCAGGGGTCTTTTGGAGGTTGGCTCTGCTGGGCTATTTGGAAATGTTTGCGTGCATTCTTACAGTGGCTGTGCTAACAAATTGCTGTGTGTGCCAGAGGATGCCTTGAGGCCTTTCAAAGGAAGAGAAGAGGCTCAGCCCTGACACTGCCTCTACACGCCTGTTGGTGCTCACTGCTTTGGCCCTGTAACTGGGTCAGAGTGCTAACCAGGGAGGGCCTCTGGCTGCCACTGGGTGGAAACGGCTGCCCTGGCTGGATAGGCAGCTGTTGCTACAGATGCCTCCAAGTGCTCAGGACTGGGTGCCATACCTCCCCAAGCACCCTTGGAAGTTCCTGGTGCCAAAGCCATGCCTGGCCCCAGTGCCAGGAGGGAATGGCGCCACCTGGAGGGCACCCCCAGCTCTCAGTGGGTAGGGACACTGGTCACAATGGCTGAGTAGGAGTGTGGGTGAGTGGTGACCCTCGCGGGCAGCTGCTTAGCAGCATCCCTGCAAGGTTTTCTGCAAGCTCAGCTGCGGAGTCAGAGGGGGTGGACTGGCCTGAAGGAGGCATCCAGCCATTCCAGCAGTGGCTTATGGATTTCTCTTTGCTTTTGACTCAAGGGCTTGCTATGTGGTTGAGGCTGGTCTTGAACTCACAGTGAGCTTCCTGCCTCAAGGGTTACAGATTTCTGACAGACAGCAGCAGTTAGCACTGCTGGCCTAGTGCTGGCCCTGAAGACAGGTGCTGGCCACCTTCCATGAGCATGTGCACTGGCTTCCATTACCACAAGCAAGCTCCCCCCAGAGTTCCAGCTCCCAGCCAGGCCACAGATGCTGACCTCAGAGTCTTCCCATCCTACATGAAATGGCTCCTGACCTTTCTGGTGGTGAGAGGAAGAAACATACCCCTTACCCTCCAGTACAGACTTCAGGTCCACAGTGTTTGATTTTGTTTTAAGTTCCACTGACATTTCGGCAGAGATGGTTTTACCTTTCCATTCAGACTGCACATTTGTTCCCACAGAGAACCCTGATATCACACAAGCTGCAGGATCTGCCTCTCCAGGGATGCTCGTGACAAGGAGCTGAAGTCCTTCACTCACAGCCACCGATGACTCTGAACGAAGGGCGCCTGCCACTCGCCACAGCTCCCTGGAGGCCTGCTTGAGCCCCATGCCATCTGTGTCCTGCAGTGCTTCCCTCCTTTAGACTCCATGCTGTGGCCGATACACAGCCCGGCAGGGCCTGTGACTGCTCTCTTCTCTGACTGCCACGAGCTTCCTGACCGACAACATTTCCCTTCTTCACATTTTCCTACTTTTTCCTCTCTACCCCCATTGCTGAGCGCCAACCACCGGCCCCCAGTGGTCCCAGCCTGGTTCTGAGTCCTGACCAGCATTTTCTCATCCACCCTCCATGCAGCTTCCAGAAAGATGTTTCTCTGCATCAGTGGAAGCCTGGTGAGCTGCGCCTCTGCTTCACATGCTGTAACCCAGGCTCCTCTGTCTGCAGAGGGTGGGTTTTCTTAGCAGAGCCCTCGAGCTGCTGCCTCTGCCGCTCAGCCTCCTATCCTGTTCTCCTCTTAGTCTGCGTGGGGCTCTGTGCTCCTGGCACTCAGGCAGGCTTCTTCCTGGCCCTCTGCCCATCTGAAGTCTCTTCCCTCCTTAAAGATACAGCCTTTTTCCTCTAAGAAGACTCCTCTCAACTTCTGCTTAGCGGTGCCTCTGTCCTTCAGCTTACCTCACAGGCTTCTCCTGGCTCTTACCATTTGCTGTGGTTTGCATGTGTCCTCACAATTCCTGGGCTGAGATTTGATCCGCACTGTGAGGTATTCAGAGCACTGAGACCTAATTTGACTATGGTGTCTAGGGGTCATCTTTGGGAGGTGGCTAGACAAGGTCATCAGAGACAGTTTCCATGATAGTACCCTGGTGTCTTTATCAGAAGAGGAAGAGAGACCAGGACACACACACACACACACACACACACACACACACACACACACACTCCTTTGTCTTGCATTGTGATGCTCTATGTCTTCTGGCTCTCTTAGCCTGCAGAACTACAAGCTAAACTAAGCCGCTTCTCTTTATGGTTTCCCACTCCGTGGTATCATGTTTCCAGTCACAGTAAATGCAGTCCCTACTAAGTCACACATTCTCTGCTGGACACACTGGGCAGGCCGGAGAACCTGGTGAGTGTCCAGTATAGCTCAGTGCTTGGCACACAGTAGACACACAGCAATTATTCTTGAATGGATAAATGTACGCTGACTGAGAGCTCAGTTACCCTTCAATTTCAATTTCTTTCTTAAAGGCTGCAGAAACTTAAGTTTCAGTTTCAATAAGAGACAATGCCCTAGAAAAATGCATTGACCTTTTACCATTTTTAATTCACTAACCCAGAAAAGTTCTGTAAGTTGTTAATTCTACTGTTCAGTGGCCAATTATCATACCTTTGGCTCTGTCCTTTCTCTTACTGTGAAACCTGTCTCATGCTTACTGTGAAGCATGGTCTCACACTAACAGTCACAATTACGGAGCCCTGCCTGCATCCCACCTTGGGTTTGACAGGTACCATTACCCATTCAACTCTCATTACTACTGGACAAACAGAGAACGCTTAAACAGACTGATCACTGGATGGAACGAATCTCAACATTCGTTAATGTGTCTTTCAGAGGGCTCAGAGTGAGAGATTTCAGCTGCTGGATTTGAGTTAACTCTGTTGTGGATCTCAACTATCCACTTCGGTCTTGGTCTTCCACCAACCTGGGCAAGAGATGGCTGAATATATTGCACCCAGGACTTTGTTAAAAGCTCTGAGAGTGTTCCTTAATTTTTGCAAGCAGAAAAATTGGAAAGCGAGGAGCTGATGCAAAAAGACAGATGAAGCAAAGAGACAATGTGAGGAGAAAAAGCACAGAAAATTAGTCCACGCATGAAAAAGCACAGGGGAAACAGGAAGAAAGACACAGTAAGGAAGAGAGGGGAAACAAGGAGGATAAAATAGGAACTTATGACAGAAGAACAAAAAAGAAAATACAGAACCTAAGGCTCACTTCATTTCTGACACATAAAAGCAGAAATACGGATGTCTGCAGAGAGCCACAAAGCAACACAGCACCCTTCCACCCCGACTCAGGTTCCTGCTGATTGGTTTCTGGGACTAATTCCTCATCATCTGCTCGGCATCTTACTTAGTGTTTAAGAGACTTACAGATCAACGGCCCGAAAGTCCTCCCCACCATAGGGCCATTTTTCCCACCAACTGATTGGAGAAGTTGGCACATGCCAGACACTAACTGGGTGGGGCGTGATGGGCTCAGACACACACTGTGGGTTTCAATCCCATCTGTGGCCCAGGAGGCTTGGAGAGCGAGCTGATGCACAACGGATCTACACCGCTCTCCCGCTCCTAGGGCAAGTGTGGTTCTGGTGGATTCTCATACACGTTTCAGGTCTGAACTACAGCTGTCGCTCTGCCCCTCTCTGCCTCAGATTCTGAATGACAGCACTTGCCTCAAAGACATTTTCCACCGTCATTTTTCAATTTATTCTGGTCTAAAAAATGTACATAAGTGGAAACAGAAAACTCAAACAGTTTCCCCTCCTATACTGGGCCTGCGTCTCCGACGCCTCTGTGGCCCACTTCTTTCTACCAAACCAGGAGACAGCAGCCAGGTTTTCAGGCTCTCCTCTCATCTACCCTTTTCAACTCTTTTTACTCTAAAACCCAAAAACTTTTGGGAGAATTCAGATGAGCCTCAGAATTCAGGACAGTTATTCCCTCCTTCTCACCATATAAAGGCCCCAGGACAGCAGGGAGCACAACAGCCCTCAAAACCCTTTTGTTCATCTGTTCTGTGGAGAGCTGAACCAGGCACCTTATCTTAAATCATTACAACTTAGGTTTCCTTAGAGACAGGGAGAAAAATAAGGACCTCAGACAGGCTTACTGCGGATAATTTGTACACACTTAAATCAGCAGGGGGGTAGTGAGCCCTGGGCTGCCTGGGGTCAGCATCTTAACTCACTTTGTCTACGCCGCGTTCTCACAGTGAGAGCCCTTAAACCCACAGAGGGCACCCTTACCTTTCGGGGCTTCACTTTGTCGTGGTAGTCGTACTGGAAGATTCCTTTGTAGCTCAGTCCCAGCCACCATGGGATTCCTTGCTTGTCCTAGGACAGCAAAAGGAGTACAGGTAAATAACGGGTTGGAGAAGATAAACATAGGCTGAGAGAAAGCTTCCTGGGTCAGCTGAAAATGAGGAAAAACCCCACTTTCTTGAGATGGATGGAGCCCACCTGGCCCCTCGTACCTTACAGATGTGCCCATCCCGGAAGGATGTTCAGTCATACGACCGGGGTGGCATGGACTGAGCCCCAGGCTGGGGACAGCACCATAACCATGGCGTCTTCCCCCCTCTACAAATAAGAGCAAATGCTCTGTTTTTCCCCTTTTTGATGCCTTCCAGCCTGTTCCTTTCCTCACTACACAGAAAACTCGAGCATTATTGAGCCTGCTGATAAAATAAACGATGTTTTAAGTGGAGAAACTGCCACTGGGGTTACCAGAGCTAGACAGGCCTCTGGACACTATGGAATAGGGCTCTTATCTCCATAAGGACAAAGAAATCAGAGCATGGAGCTGAGCCTGCTTTACTCAGGGCCTGCCAGGCACAGCAAGGCAATGCCTCACAAGCTTGGACATGTCACCCCGATGTCCCAAGGACAACTGGGTGCCAGCAGGATTTAGGACTCACGCTGCCGAACACAGAGCCAATTCCTTCTGATTATTACTCAGGAATCATGTCACTTGGGTGGACACTGTGGTTCCCTATTTAGATGGGGTAATTTTGAGTTATTAAAGCTCCCAAATGCCAGAACTTTATGATAGGAATATTAAACAGTCTTTTCCATGTCTTGCACTAACTGCTATTTCTTTGAATAACCTATCTACCCCTAGTATGGGTATCCAAAAACTCAAAATTGGCACGATGATTTCCAATTACCTGCGGTCTGAATTATTTCACGTTTAGTACAAAGATGAAAGGCAAAAATGAATAAATTTTGTGTATTAAAGTGTATTAAAAGCTTCAAGGGTATCTGGCTTCTTTCTTTTCTGAAGACTTCACCAAGAGCCTTATGTGGGCTAAGCTCATGCTGTACTGCTGAGCCTCCTGCAGCCCCCAAAATGTAAAATCTTCATCTTTTTTTTTTTTTTTTTGATACCAGGGACAAACTCACAACCTTGCACTTGCTAGGCAGGTGCTTTGCCGCTGAGCTATATCCCTAGCCAAGGTCCTCATCTTGAGTCCCTTTCTTTGGGAAATACCTGTGCCCTGCAATGGTTTCAGACAGCAGAACAACAGAAAGCCTAACATCACAGTGACATCAGCTGACCGGGAAGTGACGTTGGTACAGCGCAGCTGGGCACCAGTGAAGGTGCAAGGCCACCAGGCAGTGTGTGTGACACATGTGGGCTGTGCCGGCTTGGACCAGGGGCTCTTTTACCAATGTTAACACAGTAATAACTGCTGATGCTTTGAGACTTCAGGAGTGAACACACATACTCAATGGAGACACTGATAATCACAAGCCTTCTTCCTGGTTGTCAACAAATGGAGGAGAGGACAGAGCCCTTTGGAAAGGTCACAGTGGAAGGAAGAAAACATTGGAGGCAACCTTAATGTGAAATTCTGGGGCTGCCGACAGAATGGACCTCTGGTCACATCTGGTTTAAAGACTGGACGAAGCTCCCTATGTTTCAAGTCTTCCAACACTCAGAAGGTTTTATGAGAGTCACTGGGGAGGCAAATATCTTAGTCTCTTGTATGACGAGAGACAGAATTGAACCCAAATTCAGAAGAAATATTAGGTAGTGAATGCTACCCTGCTCCTGACATTCTAACATGAGCTTGAGCAGAGCAGGGCTGGTCATGGTGGCCACGAGTTCTATCATGATGATGAAGAAAACTAAGAGCTCTGGCTGGTGGGAAGAACTTTGGGAAGACATCAGAACAATGTCTTATAGAGATCCCAAGCTAAACTCTTGGATGGGCCTGAAGTCCCACGAGTGCCTCATAGGGCTGGCTACACAACTGTGATTCCAGCCCTCACTCCTCATTAGGGAAATGCATACCTCCAGCAGCTCAGCTCGATTCTTAGCCCACGATTACTGAGCAAGCCTGTGCCAGGTGCCATGCTTGGTTCTCAGGATGTACCACAGAACACAACATTAGTCTCTGCCATCTAGAGTCTGTAATTTACAAGTCAATGCATATCGACAGTGTAAGTGTTATGCAGATTTCCAAGGGTAACACAGAATGAAAGAGAGATGCTTTGGCCTAAAGAAATTTTAAAAATATAGTGGGGAGGAAACGCAGGGAAAGACTATAAAACAGCAAGAGAAGCTTATGCTGGCTGGTGGAACTTTCTCAGATTGAAAATATTTTCTGTTCTTTTAGGTTGGACTTCAGGTACTCACTTAGGGGTTGAGGAAGAAACAGAATTTCTCCCCTTTGTGGGGAATATCGTTATCTACTATCTGCAGAAGGGATCCTGGTCTGGTACACTGTGAATAAGATTAAAGAGGACTTGGAATGGGGTCAACATCTCACTGGATTGACCACTGTAATCTGCATGAAGATAGACTCTGTCTTTCACCTGGTCATAGACTCAGTGTGTCAGCCCATAATCCCAGCCCAGTCCTGAGGAGTTGACCGTGTGGAATATGATGATCAAGAAAAACACTCAACTTGTGCTCCAAGTTTTTGCTACTCTGCCATGTGTTTGACCCAGTCTTCCCACTGTGAAGCTATCTAAAGTCCGAAGTTTAGCAAGTCAGTGCATAGAAGTGGTGTAAAAGTGCTTGCTCTCCCCCAGTGCCTCTAAGATCAAAATGAAGCAGGGATTTTTTTGGATGCTATTTCACAAAATGGAAAATGAGTTTTGGAAAATGATATCAACTTTTGATGGCACAAAACATAGTTGCTTGGTTTCTCCAGGCACGCAATCTCCTTGACCATTTCCTGCCAACTCCTATTCCCCCTAAAATCTTGAGAAGATTTAAAAATCAGTAGTTTTTGTTTGTTTGCTTGTTTTTAGCGGCAAGGTGGGCAGCCTCCACCAAATGAGTTCACTTACCTTCACTGCGTAATAGTGAACCCCGTAGGTCGGGAGGGACTCCACAATGCTCATGTAGCTGCAAAGACAATGGACACACAGAAACAGTCAGTGCACAAGAGAGGGATTATTTGGCAGAAGTGGTACAATAAACATGTTCGTGTGTGTGTGTGTGTGTGTGTGTGTGTGTGTGTGTGATGAAGTTCTGGGAGTAATTATTTACTCAAAAATTCAGTTAAAACATTGCCCCCCAGAGACACAAAGTTCCCAGCAGAACTGAACCCCCTTGACCTACACCTTGTATCAGCACACACAGTCTTCACAAGTGATGAGAAGAGCCACTTACTTCACGATTGCTTGACCTCTTGTCTGGCCATTCAGCTTCTTATAGTGCTCAATCACTCTGTCTTCGCTAGAATGAGAAGGAAAAAAAACTGTGATGAGAGGCCAAGACGCCACTGCAGGAGACGCTTCTGAACCTGACCAACCTCCTGAGATGCTTCAAGGAGCCAGCGACTCCAGGAAAATGCTTTGTCCTGAAGTGACATTTCTAAATCAACCTGAGGGAAATCCTTTGGGCTAGATTAAGTTACTTTAAAAATCCCTGTCTGGCCTTAGAGGACCTGCGTGGTCTTTCTGTGAGACTCTAATCAGTGAAACAAGATTAGTGGTTGGCTTGGAGGTCAGCTTCCTGTAGGAAATGTAGCCTGAGAGAAGAGGACAGACCAGGAAGCAGTGGTCCCAAGCAACACCATGGATAAACATGTGGATCCCTCTTCTCACTTTCTTCATGGCTCACCTCTTCTGAATGAGCAGTCATGGAGTCAGTGCTTCCAAAGGCCATGGAAAGTTCTGGAACCTGGGTTTGGTTTATTACAAATCAGGAGGCCACAAAAGAGCCAGAGAAACACTGGAGAAGCAACACACGAGCTGCTAGAATGAGATGACTGCTCCTTTACCTTTGGAAGGGTTTATTCTAAAAAACAAGAGATGCCCTGGCTCCCTGGGGAGAGTAGCTGGCCACACGTTTCTCTGAGAGAGAAGAAGGTGCCTGGCTGGGTGCAGCACAGCCTCCTGTGAGTGGCAACTCTGGTGTTTCACCACTGCCTTGGGAACCAGAGCCGACAAGGGGAATTGTGGCAGGGGGACTGTGGCAGAGGCCTCCCGTTCCATCTGCTGAGAGTCACATCTCCCAGCCTCAGCCTCCACCATCTGCCTACCCGGCCTTGACCTTGATTCTTCACTGCCTGCCTCACCTCTGCCCAGCCTCAGGCAAAGGAACCCCTTCCTGTCTCCCTACAGGCTCCATGATGGGGGTGGGAGTGACCCGAGAGGTGTGCCCTCAGATCTCATTGGCTGATCTTTACAGTTTGGTGTTAATTTACTATCCGTAATTTATCTGAAACCTTTTCCCCCCACTTTTCTCATTTTCTGTTATTAGCTAGGTCATCTCTAGGGGTAACTCACTCTATGTTCAAGACTTAATCCTTGGGGGGAATTTGCTTACTTTTCAATTACCATCGTAATCTTTAATTAAGGAAGTAGGCTGCTGGTCAACCCTACTTTTCAGGTGGAGAAATTGATGCACAGACTGCACGACAAGCATCCGGAAGCAGATGCATGCTTTGGGGGCAGCTGAAAAGGCTGGTAATGGTCCCCAAGGCAGAGTGACACCAGATCAGTGCACAGGGATAAAGTCAGGACCTGAAGTGCAGCCCTAAGTCAGTCCTCCCATGACGGGTACCACTCAGAGGGACTCCATCTATGAGCTGTACACTGCATCGGGCTGCGGCCTGCCCTAACTGAGGGAAGTACTCAGAGCCACCTGAGTGACGTCCAGACAAGGCCCGATGCTAGTGACCCGAACAGTTCAGGAAGCACCACAGAAGCCGCAGCAGGCTGCAGGGAGCTGATTGGGATCGACCCGTCCCACATGTTGTGTCCCACTTCATTCACACTATTCTGGTTCTGTTAAGAGTCAGAAGGGACGTCAGAGAAGCAGGGCTGTCCCTGTCACGGGCCGGCAGTCCAGGTTCACGCATCCAGCAGCATTCAACACACATCCCAGCGGTGCACACCCCTCTCAGCTGGGGCCCAAGCCACAGTCTAGGCCCTGTCACAGGCCGGAGTCATCAGAATCACACTCCAGGGCCTGGCAGATGGCGCTGAGGCCTGGTGTCTCAGGGCAGCTGAATCAGGAGATAGGAAACATGAAGGGGGAAGAAAAGACTCTGTCTCCCTCGCCAGCAAAGAAAACCCAGTCTGTCTCCAGCACCACCCTTACATGTCCACACATCATGTCTCAGGACCATGGAGTTCCCTTGTGGGGCCCCGCCACGCAGGAAAGGCTCTCGAGACAGGTGAAGTTAAAAAATGAAATTTTAGGGGCTGGGGATTTAGCTCAATGGCATAAGCGCCTGCCTTGCAAGCAGGCAGTCGTGAGTTCGATCCCTGGTACCAATAAAAAGGAAAAAGACAGGAAAAAAAAAAAAAGAAATTTTAGAAGGATTAAAAAAAAAAAGTCAAGAAAAAGGAGAAGCCTCATGCATAACCTGTCACTTAAACCACTGGCTTCTGAAGGAAGACACAGGGTACTGACTGTGAAGCCAGGGCACACAGCCAGGGGTCCTGAGGGACCAGGGGTCTTACCAGTAGGCCAGGGAGGGGTGCTCCTTCAGGGCTTGGGTAGGGAGGGCCGGCAGCTTCTTCAGGTCACTCCTTACCACCTCATTGCTGAAAGGAGAAGGCCAGAAACACATTCAGGGGGAGAACCAGCAGGCTTTCTGAGGAGATGACTCACAGATGGGCAGGCAGAGGCCCCTGTTATTGCAGAGTGGGCAGCAAGGGGCCCCTCTGTTTATCTACTTAATATAGACAGTGAAGAGCCAAGAACCTCCTCCTCGGCAGCGTGGGCCCAGGGCGGGTGCTTAGAGGGCTTGAGCTCGCCTTTACTGGGCATAGACTGAGACCCCAGAACTGCACATTCTCACAGGGGAGGGTCCAGGAGAAGCTCCCCAGGGTCCGAAGCTGGGTTCACAGGACTCTATGAATGGGCAGTACCACCCCTTCCTCCAGTGATGCTCACTTTGCCAATATACAGGAGTAGTTTTCCTAGCTTAGACTGACCACACACTGAAAAGTGTCTGCTGAAATGATTAACAACCTTTGCTTTTGACAAGGCCTGGAAACTACTCAGAAAGCATGGGATCCAGAAATCCCTTGTATCTGGCCCTGGACCCAGGGTATCCTTCCCTCAGCTTTGCTTGTGCTTGGGATTGGAAGGCACAGTGGACTCCTACTCTAACTGACCTTCTCCAGATGCTGAACACCCGTCCCAACATACAGTGGACCAGTGCTTCCTCTGTGCAAGCTGGCGGCAGTTCGTATCCCTGCGGGCTGCCTGAAGTGGCACCCATAAGGGGATGCTTCTGATAATGAAAGGGTGGTCCCCCAGGAAGCCTCAGATGTCTCAACCTGGGGTGCCCAGGCTCATTTCATATAACCCTACCTTTGGCTCTAGCCTGGGCTGTTAGCAGCATTTGCCTTACTCAAAGCAAGGAAAATTACTGGCTACCAGGACATGGGGCAGAGCCACACAGAAAAGTAGTAAGATAGGAAATGAATAAATAAACGTAAAGGGAGAAACACCCAGAGTACAGACAGGCGCTCCCCAGGCATTTTGGACAGCAAATTCCCCAAGGCAACATCGCTATTCAGACAGTAACGTCTCCTGGCATCCTCAGTGGAGATCATCTCGGGCAGCAGCGGAGCCAGCAGCTCTACCTCCAGGTGTCATGAGCTCCTGGGAAGCACCATGCAGCATTCAGGGCTCACTGGAATGGTGATGCGGAAGTACGTGGATGTGTGGTAACAATGTAGTAGGCATTTTCCAGATGCACTAAGAACAAGGTTGGATGTTTGTGAATCAGCTTTAAACAACCAACCAGAGAAACAGCTCCACTTGGGATTGTTTGATGCTGTATGCAATTAAAATGTTAAAATCGGAGTGGCCAGTCCCTATGAGTGGCACCTAGTAACCATAAGGTACTTATGAAGCACACATGGCTGTCGGAAAGCACTGGGGAGGGCACAGAAAGTGTTGAGGGTTGAGTGCAGTGGCACATGTCTGTAATCCCAACTACCTAGGAGGCTGAGGCAGAACACAAGTTTGAGGCCAGTCTGAGCAACTTAATAAGATGCTATATCAAAGTAAATTTTTAAAAAAGTGCTAGGTGTGGAGCTCAGAGGTAGAGCACTTGCCTAGCAAGTGCCAGGCTCCAAGTTCAATCCCAATACTACTACTAAAAATAAAAAGTGATATGACAGTTCTTCTCCACAAAATTAGCCAGGGAGGCGGCGACAGGTGCACAGTGAAGGTAGCTGGCTGCAAAGTCTTTGGTCGTGTGAATCCAAACAACAACTCTGAAAAGTTAGAGGAAGTAAAGGGCCTTTGGGCTCCAGAGTAAAAGCAGGTCTGGGGGAGACATCGCATGAAGAAAAGGATCAGCGCATCACGCTTCTCTGTGCGACCCAGGACAGGTCCTGGAGCTGACCAAACGGCAGGAATGGGGTACGTGAGCGATAGTACAGAGCAAAAGGCAGGCGAGGGGCAGAACTTTCAGTGCCACAATACGAGGCCACACTGCAGTGGGCAACGGAACCATCACTGGAGCTTTCAAACAGTGACTTCCTGAGGCTTAAGAAAATTCAATTCTCAAGTATGATTTAGAATTTTCACTTGTACATTACACATATCCCAGCAGTGTGTGTAAGTAAGACACAGCTGAGGCAGATTTTCAGCTTGCCAAACTCAGAAGCCCTCGGTGATGGGTTTTTAGACCTCTGTCACTGAGCACAGGTATTTGATTCACGGCTCATCAGTGTCAAAGAAGATGCCTTAAATGTTTAAAGACACATGCCAGAGGCGCTTCCATGAGAAGAAACCGAGAAGAGCAATTAGGAGCTCTTTCATGAAGCCGAAACTTGTTTGGGTCGCCCCACTCTTCATACTTAAAGTGCATTTAGGGAAGGAAGGAACTGAAGGAGGAAGGGATCATTTTACCCACCAAAGCTCATTTGTTGGCAAACAAGTTCTCTGATGACAGCCAATGCTTTACTTCCTTACTGAAGCTTGCAGTTTCCCTGGAGCAGCCCACCAGGACAAGGTTACACAAAAACAGAGAAATCACCGGGTCTGAAGCTCATTCAACTCCACCACACCCTGAAAGGGATCTGTGGCTTCTGCCCTTTACCCAAACAAGCGTGCAGTAGCATTCTCTTTGTCTCCTGTTGTCTGTGAACACCTGCAATGACTTGAAGCCCTCTATTCCAGTCAATCCCTCCAAACGCTGAGGCTGGGACTCAGAAAGCTGCCCAGTGGAGAGGTGAACGCTCCACCTCCAGGGACGTGCAAGGCTGTATCCTGACAGATGCAGTTCCTAGCCTCCTCCCTCTACGACTGCTGCTCTAATGGTTCCCAGAGTCCAGGGCCAGTTTTTAACACACCTGAACCCAGTGCATCATGGTCATATCCTATTTTTAGCAACAGCAGAAAGTCTTAACTCTCTGAGAACTACTTGCTAAACCAAGAACCAAACTCCAGGTTTCTCATTTTTTTTACATTGATCAAATTTTATTTAAAATATTTAGGTATAAGCCAGGCATGGTGGTACACACCTGTAATTCCAGCTACTTGGAGGGTGAGGTAGGGGATCTTGAGTTTGAGGTCAGTCTGATAGCCTGGTGGGAGAGACCCTGTCTCAAAACAAAACATTTTTTAAAGGGCTGGGAGTATAACTCAGCACTGGGGTGCTTGCCTTACATGTGTGAGGTCCTAGGTTCAACCCATAGGACCACGAACTACGTTTACATATATTTTAAGACAGGATCTTGCTAGGCAGTTCAGGCTTGAACTTATGATGTGGCCCAGGCTGGCCTCAAACTTGCAGTGATCCTCCTGCCTCAGCCTCGTGAGTGTGAGTGCTGGGATTACATGTGTGCACCACTGCACTTGGCACAGTCATTTTTCTACGTAGCTGTTAATGTGCCCAGTGTGGAAAAGGTGCGGCGATGCTCTGCTATTTTTTTCCTGAAGGTGGGGCTGAAATGATACACCTGTCTTCCACTGCCTCCAACATGAGCTGTCAGAACAGTCTACAGGGGAAACACAGATTTCTAGCAATACACCAAGTGGCCAACACATCTATGACTGAGCAAAAGCAAATTTAATCAAGCCACATAACCGAAGGAAGCCAGGATTAAACTTGAGAAAATGATGAGCAAAGGCCACAATGGGCTGGCCTTTCAAATATTAAGAAGTAACCTTTTCAGGAAAATTCCCCTCAAAGGAGATGCCTGGATGTGCAGGAGAAATCTGGGGCCGAAGGAGGCTTAGTATTGAAAAACTCTTCCTGAAGCCAGCTGGTTTGCCAACATGGCACAGACAACTGAGTACTAAATCCAAAAAGTTCTACAAATATAACGTAAGGGCACAGGGTAAGACTCAGAGACGCTGATGCACTACTCCAGACTGACTCTACTTCGCAAATGGGTCAGGAAGTAAATTTCCCCAGGGAAAGGCAGTTCCTAAGTGAAATGACAGCAGTACCTCATCCCTTACCCACAGTTCTGAAATGCAAAGAGCTCTAGGAAACAAATTTTTCCCACTCCATTGGTGGTAAATTTAAGCTTTTTGAGGCAATGTTTGACTTCTGTCTCTCCTGCTTGCTGTAGTGGCCAGAGAAAAGGGAAGACTAGCCCACTCCTCCAGGTTACGTGCTCTCCCAGGGGCAGGGGAAGGCTCAGGAAGCCGGTGACTCAGGAGAGTCCTGCGTCTGTGGACCTTCTGCCATTGCATTTTTTTTTTTTTTTTTTGTCTTTTTCCTTTTTATTGGTACCAGGGATCGAACTCACGACTGCCTGCTTACAAGGCAGGCGCTTATGCCGCTGAGCTAAATCCCCAGCCCCCTCTGCCATTGCATTTAACACCTGCAGACAAACGGAAGCACCTGGAGTGGCTCTGAGGGTTTTGTTTTTTGTTTTCCAGCACGGGATTCTGGATTCTGGGCTTATGTCAAGGATAAATACTCATACTAATTCACCAGCTCTACAGGGAGCAAAGGGACAAAGCCATTTATGGATTTAAAGTATTTCTGATGCTAATTGTTCAATTATATATGTAAAGATTTCTTTCTTATTAGTGAATGGTTTGCCTAGGGTAAAAAGAAGTTTTGTAAGTTTGTAATTTAGCTGGAAACGTGAAAAATTCAAAACAAGTTTTAAGAATTGTTTCTTAAGTCCATGATTGTGGGAAAGTAATTTTTATTCAAATAGCCTGAGAAAAAGCAACTGGTTAATTTTTTAATATCACCCTTCAGCTTGGGATTCAGAACTCTGAAAAACGGACTTAACCATGAATGAACCTTTTTGCTATCCACAGAATTCACTCAGATGTGATGCTGGGGTTCACTAAGTGCTTCACAGAAGAGTTAAGCTGTCACAATACAAAATTTTCTCTTTATATTTTTATAGTTCTCATAGGATTTGAAGAATGGCACTCTGCAAAAGAAACCCTATCTGAACACTTTTCAATGCTTCAAAAATGTGAACTACGCACTGGAAAGCTCAGTCAAATGGGCTTTTGTCCACAAAACAGAGTTTTCATAACAATTTATAACTTTTCCACTTGAATACTGTGCTTCAAACATTCACAGATTTCATTCTTTTTAAAAGCT